GATTAAAAGTCGCTTCTCTTCAGCACAGTAGAGTCAGGCTTCTTCTGTAGGTCTATACGATTTCAAGTCTTAAGAGTCAAGTCGCTTCTCTGCAGCACAGTAGAGTCAAGCTTCTTCTCCAGGTCTATTCAATTTCAAGTCTTAAGAGTAAAGTCGCTTCTCTGCAGCACAGTAGATTCAAGCTTCTTCTCTAGGTCTATTCGATTTCAAGTCTTAGAGTCATGTCGCCTCTCTGCAGCACAGTAGAGTCAAGCTTCTTCTCTAACTCTATTCGTTTTCAAGTCTTAGAAATGTGTTTTTAAGACAGCATTTTATGGCTTTCTGCGCTGTGGGGAGTTCACATGCCAAACCTTGCGCGATACTACTTACATTCGTATGTGTGACATAGTGGTGGTGCCGGACAAGTCTTCCTTTACCCTTTATCTGCGTTCATCAAAAAAGGACCCCTATGGTAAAGGAGTGAACATTAAAGTGTTTGAAAACAATGTTTTGCATCCTGTGCTCACCATGATTCCCTATTTAGCAGCAAGGAAGGCTCAAGGAGCTATTCTGACTTCACCTTTGTTTATTGAAAATGTGGTTTTTTTCCAAACCGCTGATGCGTCAGACTTTCATATCATACCTCAAAGAAACTCTGACTCGTATAGGTATCAACAGCCATGATTTTAATGGACATTCCTTTTCGTATTGGTGCAGCTTCCTCAGCAGATGCCGCCGGTGTCCAGGATCATGTTATTCAGACTTTGGGTAGATGGTCATCTGACTGTTTTACTCGTTATATCCGAACAGATCCTGCTACAATTTGTACAGCTCAACAATGCATGAGCTTTGACTAGTTAAAATAGTTATCATTTTACCCACAATGTTATAAATAATTTCTTTAAGTTTTTGGGGGCTCTCACTCTTACGCAACTAACATAATCGTTCCATTTTGGCTTTAAATTCTTTGGGAATTTTACCCCCAATCTCTTAAAAAGATTATTACTTCACTTTATCTGTAGCCAGTTTTCTCATGGTAAATTTAACAGATACATTCTCTGGGTGGCTATGAGTCTAGTCGCTTCTCTGGATTCCTCCAGAGTCTAGTGACTTCTCTTGCCTTCTTCGGAGTCTAGCGTTTCCAATTCATAGTCTTTTATAGCTTCTCAATGGATATTAGGAGTCTAGTCGCTTCTCTGGAGTCTTTCAGAGTCTAGCTGCTTCTCTTGTTTTCTTTGGAGTCTAGCTCGCGTTCTTTATCAAGTTTCTCTGTGACTTCGCAGAGTCTAGCTTCCTTTAAAATCTTTTGAAAAGAATTTGTTATTATTAGTAGGTTTGTTATAGAGTGAGTAGCCCCTGATACGCCAAATGTTTGCAGTAGGTTTTAGTACTTGTTCTTTGCTTGCACATACATATCTGTGTCTTCACTCAAGTAATAAACAGGTTAACTCTTTCATTGTGTGAAGTTATGTATAAACAGGATTTTAATGATCTTAAATGTTAAACATTTGTGAGGCAAAGTCCCCATTTTTCAATTCTCTCCAATGGTCCAACAAAGTTTGAAATATCTATAATGCACTATAGATATGGTAAGTCTGACCAATCAGTTTAATTGTATCACATTAACTATAGCAAGTTTTATTTCATACAAACAATGTATGATTTAATTAGGAATGGAAAACAAGCCAGAATTTTATAATGATCTTCTCTATACCAATTCCTTTCATATCCCTTTTCCAGCCTTTGTTCCAAACAATAATTGTTTATCTACAGTGAACTTTTAAAAGATTTTGGAAGACTAGGAATCCATTTAGATCTTCAATATTTTATCTACTTCTTCAGTTTCTTTTTTCTATTTGAATATGAGGTCAGGCTCAACAGGCATCTACAGTAACCGATGCGCCTTTATCACCGCCTTTTGTCAAGGGGAAGTTGCCGACACCCTGGGGACACACTGATTTGCCATACATAACCCTTTTTTCTCGCCCAGAACATGTTACACTGACATATTTCTACAGCAGCAGAATACCACAAGCACATGTTCTAAGACAATATAAAATGCGGGACTACATGAGATGCAGTCATTTCATCAGCAGCAGGGTGTGTCACTAGCCATACCAATGACATTAGGCTGTGTAACACCTAATGTCCTTCACGTTTAATGCCAATAAGTACATTAACAAACCTAGATACACTGTGTAGAGGCGTGACCTCATTTTTACATTCCCAGGAGTTCATGTTAAAATGAATATCCTCAAATCCTCAAAACAAATCTGTGAAAAGCAATATTTTAGTGAATATAATACAAGTGATAAAAGTCATTAGACCCCATATTTCTTCACAAAGAATGAGTTAAGTGTTGTTTTTATTTTATTCAGTTCCTGCCAAGAGTAAAATAAATGTTGGCCTCCATGATAGGCCTTAAACATATCACAAGTGAAAACATGATGCAGGGATTAATTAACTCTTGTGTGTAATTCTCTAGATTAAATTCTGCGTTAGCATAATGACAGAAAGATCCAAAAACCAACTGTATAGATCCATCAGCAACACCAGGTGCAGCTTAAGTGATGTAGGGAAATACATGTACACTCGCCCACTTCTGATTACATAGGCGACCCTCCAAGCCAAAACCTTGTATATTTATAATGTGCCTAATTTAGGACTGACTATGCCCATCTCTATGACATTGTCATCCGTAAGGTGTATGACAAGCCTGTCTGCTGTGCTGGTCTGCTCTCGGCAAGGTCTGAGCGTGACAACCTGTCTGCTGTGCTGGTCTGCTCTCGGCATGGTCTGACCATGACAGCCTGTCTGCTGTGCTGGTCTGCTCTCAGCAAGGTCTTACCGTGACAGCCTGTCTGCTGTGCTGGTCTGCTGTGCTGGTCTACTCTCGGCATGGTCTGACCATGACAGGCTGGCTGCAGCGCTGGTCTGCTCTTGGCAAGGTCTGAGCCTGACAGCCTGTCTGCTGTACTGGTCTGCTCTCGGCAAGGTCTGAGCGTGACAACCCGTCTGCTGTGCTGGTCTGCTCTCGGCAAGGTCTAAGCGTGACAACCTGTCTGCTGTGCTGGTCTGCTCTCGACAAGGTCTGAGCGTGAAAGCCTGTCTGCTGTGCTGGTCTGCTCTCAGCAAGGTCTGACCGTGACAGCCTGTCTGCTGGGCTGGTCTGATCTCGGCAAGGTCTGAGCGTGACAGCTTGTCTGCTGTGCTGGTCTGCTCTCGGCATGGTCTGACCTTGACAGCCTGTCTGCTGTGCTGGTCTGCTGTGCTGGTCTACTCTCGGCATGGTCTGCCCATGACAGCCTGTCTGCTGTGCTGGTCTGTTCTCGACAAGGTCTGAGCGTGACAGCCTGACTGCTGTGCTGGTCTGCTCTTGGCAAGGTCTGAGCTTGACAGCCTGTCTGCTGTGCTGGTCTGATCTCGGCAAGGTCTGACCGTGACAGCCCGTCTGCTGTGCTGGTCTGCTCTCGGCATGGTCTGCCCATGACTGCCTGTCTGCTGTGCTGGTCTGCTCTCGACAAGGTCTGAGCGTGACAGCCTGACTGCTGTGCTGGTCTGCTCTTGGCAAGGTCTGAGCGTGACAGCCTATCTGCTGTGCTGGTCTGCTCTTGGCAAGGTCTGAGCAGGACAGCCTGTCTGCTGTGCTGGTCTGCTGTGCTGGTCTACTCTCGGCATGGTCTGCCCATGACAGCCTGTCTGCAGTGCTGGTCTGCTCTTGGCAAGGTCTGAGCATGACAGCCTATCTGCTGTGCTGGTCTGCTGTGCTGGTCTACTCTCGGCATGGTCTGACCATGACAGCCTGTCTGCAGTGCTGGTCTGCTCTTGGCAAGGTCTGAGCTTGACAGCCTGTCTGCTGTGCTGGTCTGCTGTGCTGGTCTGCTCTTGGCAAGGTCTGAGCGTGACAGCCTGTCTGCTGTGCTGTTCTGCTCTCGGCAAGGTCTGACCGTGACAGCCTGTCTGCTGTGCTGTTCTGCTCTCGGCAAGGTCTGACCGTGACAGCCTGTCTGCTGTTCTGGTCTGCTCTCGGCAAGGTCTGACCGCTGTGCTGGTTTGCTCTCGGCAAGGTCTGACCGCTGTGCTGGTCTGCTCTCGGCAAGGCCTGAACGTGACAGCCTGTCTGCTGTGCTGGTCTGCTTTGGCCAGGTCTGACCGTGCCAGCCTGTCTGCTGTGCTGGTCTGCTCTTGGCAAGATCTGACCATGACAGCCTGTCTGCTGTGCTGGTCTGCTCTCGGCACGGTCTGAGCTTGACAGCCTGTCTGCTGTGCTGGTCTGCTCTCGGCAAGGTCTGAGCTTGACAGCCTGTCTGCTGTGCTGGTCTGCTCTTCGCCAGGTCTGACCGTGACAGCCTGTCTGCTGTGCTGGACTGCTCTCGGCAAGGTCTGACCGCTGTGCTGGTCTGCTCTCGGCAAGGACTGAACGTGACAGCCTGTCTGCTGTGCTGGTCTGCTATCGGCAAGGTCTGACCGTGACAGCCTGTCTGCTTTTCTGGTCTGCTCTAGGAAAGGTCTGACCGCTGTGCTGGTTTGCTCTCGGCAAGGACTGACCGCTGTGCTGGTCTGCTCTCGGCAAGGTCTGACCGAGACAGCCTGTCTGCTGTGCTGGTCTGCTCTTTGCAAGGTCTGACCGTGACCGTGACAGCCTGTCTGCTGTGCTGGTCTGGTCTCGGCAAGGTCTGACTGTGACAGCCTGTCTGCTGTGCTGGTCTGCTCTTTGCAATGTCTGACCGTGACAGCCTGTCTGCTGTGCTGGTCTGCTGTGCTGGTCTGCTCTCGGCATGGTCTGACCATGACAGCCTGTCTGCTTTGCTGGTCTGCTCTCGGCAAAGTCATACCGTGACAGCCTGTCTGCTGTGCTGGTCTGGTCTCGGCAAGGTCTGACTGTGACAGCCTGTCTGCTGTTCTGGTCTGCTCTCGGCAAGGTCTGAGCGCTGTGCTGGTTTGCGCTCGGCAAGGTCTGACCGCTGTGCTGGTCTGCTCTCGGCAAGGCCTGAATGTGACAGCCTGTCTGCTGTGCTGGTCTACTCTCGGCAAGGTGTGAGCGTGACAGCCTGTCTGCTGTGCTGGTCTGGTCTCGGCAAGGTCTGACTGTGACAGCCTGTCTGCTGTTCTGGTCTGCTCTCGGCAAGGTCTGAGCGCTGTGCTGGTTTGCGCTCGGCAAGGTCTGACCGCTGTGCTGGTTTGCGCTCGGCAAGGTCTGACCGCTGTGCTGGTCTGCTCTCGGCAAGCCCTGAACGTGACAGCCTGTCTGCTGTGCTGGTCTGCTGTGCTGGTCTGCTCTCGGCAAGGTCTGACCGCTGTGCTGGTCTGCTCTCTGCAAGGTCTGATCGTGACAGCCTGTCTGCTGTGCTGGTCTGCTTTGGCCAGGTCTGACCGTGCCAGCCTGTCTGCTGTGCTGGTCTGCTCTCGGCACGGTCTGAGCTTGACAGCCTGTCTGCTGTGCTGGTCAGCTGTGCTGGTCTGCTCTCGGCAAGGTCTGACCGTGACAGCCTGTATGCTGTGCTGGTCTGCTCTCGGCAAGGTCTGACCATGACAGCCTGTCTACTGGGCTGGTCTGCTCTCGGCAAGGTCTGACCGTGACAGCCTGTATGCTGTGCTGGTCTGCTCTCGGCAAGGTCTGTCCGTGACAGCCTGTCTGCTGTGCTGGTCTGCTGTGCTGGTCTGCTCTTGGCAAGGTCTGAGCTTGACAGCCTGTCTGCTGTGCTGGTCTGCTCTCGGCACGGTCTGAGCTTGACAGCCTGTCTGCTGTGCTGGTCTGCTCTTTGCAAGGTCTTACCGTGACAGCCTGTCTGCTGTGCTGGTCTGATCTCGGCAAGGTCTGACCGTGACAGCCTGTCCGCTGTGCTGGTCTGGTCTCGGCAAGGTCTGCCCGTGACAGCCTGTCTGCTGTTCTGGTCTGCTCTCGGCAAGGTCTGAGCGCTGTGCTGGTTTGCGCTCGGCAAGGTCTGACCGCTGTGCTGGTCTGCTCTCTGCAAGGTCTGAGCGTGACAGCCTGTCTGCTGTGCTGGGCTGCTCTCGGCACGGTCTGAGCTTGACAGCCTGTCTGCTGTGCTGGTCTGCTCTTCGCCAGGTCTGACCGTGACAGCCTGTCTGCTGTGCTTGTCTGGTCTCGGCAAGGTCTGACCGTGACAGCCTCTCTGCTGTTCTGGTCTGCTCTCCGCAAGGTCTGACCGCTGTGCTGGTTTGCTCTCGGCAAGGACTGACCGCTGTGCTGGTCTGCTCTCGGCAAGGTCTGACCGAGACAGCCTGTCTGCTGTGCTGGTCTGCTCTTCGCCAGGTCTGACCGTGACAGCCTGTCTGCTGTGCTGGTTTGCTCTCGGCAAGGTCTGACGGCTGTGCTGGTCTGCTCTCGGCAAGGCCTGACCGTGACAGCCTGTCTGCTGTGCTGGTCTGCTCTTGGCAAGATCTGACCATGACAGCCTGTCTGCTGTGCTGGTTTGCTCTCGGCAAGGTCTGACCGTGACAGCCTGTCTGCTGTGCTGGTTTGCTCTCGGCAAGGTCTGAGCGTGACAGCCTGTCTGCTGCGCTGGTCTGCTCTCGGCAAGGTCTGAGCGTGGCAGCCTGTCTGCTGTGCTGGTCTGCTCTTTGCACGGTCTGACCGTGACAGCCTGTCTGCTGTGCTGGACTGCTCTCGGCAAGGTCTGACCGCTGTGCTGGTCTGCTCTCGGCAAGGTCTGACCGAGACAGCCTGTCTGCTGTGCTGGTCTGCTCTTGGCAAGATCTGACCATGACAGCCTGTCTGCTGTGCTGGTTTGCTCTCGGCAAGGTCTGAGCGTGACAGCCTGTCTGCCGTGCTGGTCTGCTCTCGGCAAGGTCTGACCGAGACAGCCTGTCTGCTGTGCTGGTCTGCTCTTGGCAAGATATGACCATGACAGCCTGTCTGCTGTGCTGGTTTGCTCTCGGCAAGGTCTGAGCGTGACAGCCTGTCTGCTGGGCTGGTCTGCTCTCGGCAAGGTCTGAGCGTGACAGCCTGTCTGCCGTGCTGGTCTGCTCTCGGCAAGGTCTGACCGCTGTGCTGGTCTGCTCTCCGCAAGGTCTGACCGCTGTGCTGGTCTGCTCTCGGCAAGGTCTGAGCGTGACAACAACAGTGACAATATTATTGATGATTTTCAGAGTTTGAAATTAAATTAAGTAAAAAGTCATCATTCTTTCCTGAAATATAATTAATTAAAAAAAAAATTGTCTTCCTTGCAAGATAAAAAAATTACAACTGCTCAAAAGCAAATTCCACCTCATTGAAAATCGTGACAATTTTCAAAGTGGAAATATCAACAGGCAATATATCCTCATTACCTGAGATTTGGTATGCAGTGATGTTCTAATACGAATGACAAAAACCTCCATATACAGTCTTTTCAGCACATCTGTTTAACTTCTCTTCTATGTAGTCATGATTTATTTATAAACAATTTCCACCAAATTTACCTTGGGGCATAGACCCAATTAAGTGCCCCTTTACAAGATCTCTCTGCTCATTCTGGGCCAATCCATCTTCTTTTTAACAACTCCATCCAAACATATATATGGCAACTTTAAAAATCAAATGGTGTTATGACTGATTCAAATGATTTATTTTAATCAAATATTATTTGATAATCTTCCTATACTGAAATATGCTAAAATACAGAGTAGTGAGGAGAAAAGGCATTCTCTAAAATTAACTATTTCCACAATAGAAATTATATAAAAGCACAAGTAGTAACAGAAATAGGTCATGATTATTGTGTACATCTGTGTAACACATATGTGACTAGTTATAGTGACTGCATTTTACTGCATGGAAAAACATGTACCACATCTGTCCTGTGAAAGAGATGAACAACGTGTGCACAGCCCTGACAGTCCACGACTACGTCAGTGCCTGTATCTACGACCACGTCAGTCTCTGTATAATTTACAACTGCTTATTGGATTAACAGTTCAGCACCGCGCTGAAGTTCATGTTAAGACACAACATTCCCATAAAAGCACCATTATAGCCAAGCGACCCTGACTTTAATTGTACTGTTAACAACCTTCAACTTATCTACAAGACTCTTTTGTATTTTGACGAGGTATTCATTTGATTTAGCTTTACACTTTAAATGAACTTTTATGTTTTTCAAAAATTCTTTCACCTTTCAACATTGAACAGACTTTTTTGGAAAGCATCGAAGATTTTTCTGAACTATTATTAATTTATGTATGTTAAAACTTTTCTCTGAATAATAATTTATACCTATGTAAACCTGAATAACCAGTTGAATATGATACCCTTTGTACAGCACAATTCTGATATTACAATAGGCTTCGGTAATGTAACAAAGTAATTGTTCAGAAAAAATATAGCAGCCAGGACTTCATCAAAACTAACGCAAATAAGAAAGGTGGCATTCTGAAACATAAGGGCCATCATATCAAAATTTTACTGCAAACATCTGTGATAAATTTATTATAGCAAAACCAAATTAATTCTGCAGAAAAAATGTAGCAGCCAGGACTCCACCAAAACCCTTGTTACACTGCCAACGTTAGACAGTAAAACCTAGTTATACTGTGACAAATAATCTGCAAAAACTTGTAAAACTGCAACTGTTTGACAGCAAAACCTTGTAATACTGTCTACGTTATACATTTAAACCTTGTTATACTGCCACCATTATACATTTAAACCTTGTTATACCATCACCAAGTACAGTAAAACCTTGTTATACTGTCACCATTTGTCAGTTAAACCTTGTTAAACTGTCACTATTTGACAGTCTAACAAACCAAAACATTTGGTATACTATGACCATTTGTTATTTAAACCTTGTTATACTGCCACCATTTGTTATTGAAACCTTGTTATACAGCCACCATTTGACAGTTAAACCTTGTAAAACTGCCACTGTTTGACAGCAAAACCTTGTTATACTGCCACCATTTGTCAGTAAAATCTTGTTTTACTGTCACCATTTGTTTTTAAACCTTGTTATACTGCCACCATTTGTTTTTAAACCTTGTTATACTGCCACCATTTGTTTTAAAACCTTGTTATACTGCCACCATTTGACAGTTAAACCTTGTAAAACTGCCACTGTTTGACAGCAAAACCTTGTTATACTGCCACCATTTGTCAGTAAAACCTTGTTTTACCGTCACCATTTGTTTTTAAACCTTGTTATACTGCAACCATTTGTTTTTAAACCTTGTTATATTGCCACCATTTGTTTTTAAACCTTATTATACAGCCATCTTTCGTTTTTAAAACTTGTTATACAGCCACCATTTGTTATTCAAACCTTATTATACAGCCACCTTTTGACAGTGAAACCTTGTAAAACTGCCACTGTTTGACATCAAAACCTTGTTATACTGCCACCATTGTCAGTAAAACCTTGTAATACTGCCACCATTTGTCAGCAAAACCTTGTTATACTGCCACCATTTGTTATTTAAACTTTGTTATACTGCCACCATTTGACAGTAAAACCTTGTTATACTGCCACCATATGACAGCAAAACCTTGTTATACCGTCACCAAGTACAGTAAAACCTTGTTATAATGTCACTATTATACAGTTAAACCTTGTAATACTGCCACCATTTGTCCGCAAAACCTTGTTATACTGCCACCATCTGTTATTTAAAACTTTGTTATACTGCCACCATTTGACAGCAAAACCTTGTTATACTGCCACCATTTGACAACAAAACCTTGTTATACCGTCACCAAGTACAGTAAAACCTTGTTATACTGCCACCATTATACAGTTAAACCTTGTAATACTGCCACCATTATACAGTAAACCTTGTTATACTGCCACCATTTGTTATTTAAACTTTGTTATACTGCCACTATCTGTTATTTAAAACTTTGTTATACTGCCACTGTTTGACAGCAAAACCTTGTTATACCGTCACCATTTGTTTTTAAACCTTGTTATACTGCCACCATTTGTTTTTAAACCTTGTTATATTGCCACCATTTGTTTTAAAACCTTGTTATACTGCCACCATTTGTTTTTAAACCTTATTATACAGCTACCTTTTGTTTTTAAACCTTGTTATACAGCCACCATTTGTTATTTAAACCTTATTATACAGCCACCTTTTGACAGTGAAACCTTGTTAAACTGCCACTGTTTGACATCAAAACCTTGTTTTACTGCCACCATTGTCAGTAAAACCTTGTAATACTGCCACCATTTGTCCGCAAAACCTTGTTATACTGCCACCATTTGACAGTAAAACCTTGTTATACTGCCACCATTTGACACCAAAACCTTGTTATACCGTCACCAAGTACAGTAAAACCTTGTTAAACTGCCACCATTATACAGTTAAACCTTGTAATACTGCCACCATTTGTCCGCAAAACCTTTTTAAACCTTGTTATATTGCCACCATTTGTTTTTAAACCTTGTTATATTGCCACCATTTGTTTTTAAACCTTATTATACAGCCACCTTTTGACAGTGAAACCTTGTTAAACTGCCACTGTTTGACCCCCCAACCTTGTTTTACTGCCACCATTGTCAGTAAATCCTTGTAATACTGCCACCATTTGTCCGCAAAACCTTGTTATACTGCCAACATCTGTTATTTAAAACTTTGTTATACTGCCACCATTTGCCAGCAAAACCTTGTTATACTGCCACCGTTTGTTATTTAAACTTTGTTATACTGCCACCATTTGACAGCAACACCTTGTTATACTGCCCCCATTTGTTTTTAAACCTTGTTATACTGCAACCATCTGTTTTTAAACCTTGTTATATTGCCACCATTTGTTTTTAAACCTTATTATACAGCCACCTTTTGACAGTGAAACCTTGTTAAACTGCCACTGTTTGACATCAAATCCTTGTTTTACTGCCACCATTGTCAGTAGAACCTTGTAATACTGCCACCATTTGTCCGCAAAACCTTTTTAAACCTTGTTATATTGCCACCATTTGTTTTAAAACCTTGTTATACTGCCACCAGTTGTTATTTAAACTTTGTTATACTGCCTCCATTTGACAGTAAAACCTTGTTATACTGCCACCATATGACAGCAAAACCTTGTTATACCGTCACCAAGTACAGTAAAACCTTGTTATATTGTCACCATTAAACAGTTAAACCTTGTTATACTGCCACCATTATACAGTAAACCTTGTTATATTGTCACCATTATATAGTTTAACCTTGTTATACTGTCACCAAGTATAGTAAAACCTTGTTATACTGTCACCATTTGTCAGTAAAACCTTGTTATACTGCTACCGTTAGACAGAAAAACCTAGTTATACTGTGACAAATAATCTGTAAAAACTTGTAAAACTGCAACGGTTTAACAGCAAAACCTTGTTATACTGTCACCATTATACATTTAAACCTTGTTATACTGCCACCATTATACAGTAAACCTTGTTATATTGTCACCATTATATAGTTAAACCTTGTTATACTGTCACCAAGTATAGTAAAACCTTGTTATAATGTCACCATTTGTCAGTAAAACCTTGTTATACTGCTACCGTTAGACAGAAAAACCTAGTTATACTGTGACAAATAATCTGTAAAAACTTGTAAAACTGCAACGTTTTTTTGGCCCCACCCCTCTGCCCCAAGGGTGGCCACACCTATACAAAACTGAGAACCTTTTGGCCAATGATGCTCCAGAACAAATTTGGTCAAAATCCCTTCATCGTTACAAAGAAGAAGGATCTTTAATGTTTTCCTCTATTCCTCTAATGGGCCCCACCCATCTGCCCCACACACTGCAGTTTATACAAAATTGATTCTTTTGTCCCTAAGCATGCTTCAGACTGCATTTGGCTTAAATCCCTTCACTTGTATAGTAGGAGAAAATAAATCCTCTATTTCCCCTATTGGGCCCCGCCCCTCCACCCCCAGAGGGGCCACACCCTTCGTTTATACAAACTTGAGTCTCCTGTGTCCAAAGATGCTCTAGGGCATATTTGGTCAAAATCCTTTTATTGGTTGAGAAGAAGAAGATTTTTAAAGATTTACCTATTTGGCCCCACCTCTCTGCCCCCAGGGGGGCCATACCCTCTTTTTATGCAAAACTGAGAACCCTTTGGCCAATGATGCTCCAATCAAATTTGGTCAAAATCCCTTCATCGGTACAAAAGGAGAAGGATCTTTGATGTTTTCCTCTATTTCACCTAATGGGCCGCACCCATCTGCCCCAAAGAAGGGGGCCCACACACCTCAGTTTATACAAAATTGATTCTTTTGTCCTTTATCATGCTTCAGACTGCATTTGGTTTAAATCCCTTCCCTTGTAAAATTAGTAGGAGAAAAACAAGAGGCCCAAGGGCCTTAACGGTCATCTGAGTCCTACAGTATTTATTTTTGTTGTTGAAATATGTACCAATTTGAGTAAAAAATTGTTAAGTATAACCTTAACTTAAGTTTGTCAGGACCATGAGCTGATCATTCCTAGACCGATTTTCAGTTAGA